TCATATAAGGGGGAATCATGCAGTATTTGTCTTTCTGGGACTGACTTTTCCCACTTAGTATTAATATAATGTCCTTGAGATTCATCCATGCTATAATCTATTTCTGCTTTCTTTATTTTTAAGGAGAATAGTATTCTGTTGTATCCTTGTACCGCATTTTCTTTATCTACTCATCTATCCGTGGACATTTAGGTCCACATCTTCACTATTGTGAATAGTACATGGTGAACATGGAAGTGCTCATATCTCTTCGATATCCTGATTTTAATTCTTTCAGATAAATATGCATAAGTGGGATTGTTGGATCATATAGTTGTTCTTTTTCAAAAATGTTTCAGGGAACCACCATACCATTTCCCAGTGCAGCTGTACCATTTTGCATTCCCATCAAGAGTATGCAAGGGTTCCAGTTTCTCTGCATCTTCTCCAGCACTTGTTAACTTTTGCTTTTTGTCTTTATCATAGCCATCTTGGCAGACGTGAGGTGATACCTCATTGTGGTTTGACTTGCATAATAGCTTTTCCATGCCCTTGAAAGATAGAGTCTTTCAGAGAAATATCTTGAACCGTGCTTATTTGCGATTAAGAAATTCATGCCTCAAATAATAAGACAGAAATTTCATATTCACCAGTTGATTACCCATTTAGAGCTCATCTAAAAAATGTCTTAAAACTTTCATAGGGGCTGTTAAAGAGCACATAGGTGAATATTAAGAATATCATATTTAAAGGTATGCTTTTTGCTATGTGTGTTTCAAAGCGAGAATGCCCAAATCCTTACCTTGTTAGAAGAGAAAAATGGGATCCTCTGTTTGAGGCTCAGTGCAGATGGAATACTAAGCTGTCTGTGGGAAGTTTCTTCCTGTGACTTCTAAGAAGTCACCTTAGCACGCTGAAGGTGGAGCTCAACAGCACAGTAAGCACGGACAGGTTTCCATGTGGATCTTTTCTTAGCGCAGCTGGGTATTGCAGCGCAGAGCTTAAACCAGAGTAACGTGGGGGCTGGGCATTCTTGATGCCTTCCTGAAATGAAGATCTGTTTCACCTCTTGAAAGACCGTCATCCCAGCCATCTGACTTTGACCGAGGGGGGACATCTGGAAGCGTAGACAGTGAGTGGAAGCTGCCCAGCTTCAAGCCTCAGTTCTGCCTCCTCCTGACTCAGACCCGGAGCAAGCCCGTTCTCTTTGGTGTCCTCAATTTATACCGCTGAGAAATGGAGCTGATGCCAGGCTGTTGTGAGGACTGATAGCAGTTAAGCTCTCAGAACATGATGACATGTATATATGCTGCTACTTTGCTATTAAAATTTCCAAGAGAATAGTTAGGGGGGAAAGGCTGAACAATGAGAATGGAACAGCTGAGGCCGCTCTAATCAGTGTTGCTTGAACACCCGGCTTGAGTTCTGTATGTCAGTGGCCCTATTGGGGTGACGCGCTTCCCACACTGAGGTTGGAGTTCCCTTAGAGTTATTACAGAAACTATTTGAAATGAACATAAACACGGTACCCTTATGTCTTCCTCTGATGCTAAAACAAAATACAGTGGAGAAAACAAAATTTAAAAAAAAAATGTCCTGAATGTACAACTTTTGAGAATAGCATTTCATGTTGCTGATTTTTTTTTCTAATACTGAAAGCTGGCTGGAAAATCTTAATAAAGTGAATTATGTCTTCTGGTTATAAGGTGAAGACATAAACTAACCTTATTGAAGATTACGCCTGTTTTAAATACATACACATATTTTTGTAGAGTTCTAATAAAACGCAATTTATTTTTATTTTTGTAATGATGTTTATTGTGGTAAGAGTCACATAATATAAAGCATACTATTTAAACCACTTCTGACTGTATGGTTCGGTGGCCCTAAATACAGTCAAGGTGTTGTCCATCTCTCACCATCATCCGTCTCCCCAGCTGCTCACTTTCCTAAACTGAAGCTCTGTCCCCACTAAACACTAACTCTCCTATCCACCTCACCCTGCACCCCTGGCATCGATCACTGTACTTTCTGACTCTATGAACTTGACTGTTCTCGGTGTCTCATGTAAGTGGAGTCAAACCATATTTGTCTGCCCTAATGTGTATTGGAGTACACAAAACGCAGTTTAATAGCTCATTGTATCTCCAAATTTGATGAGGGATCTGTTTTAATGCCATGGGAAAACTGACATGGTCTGTTCCTAGAGCTTAGTCCTCAGAGATGGAAGTTGGGACAGTAGGAGTGTAAGAAAATGACAGAGTTCGTCTGAAGGGTCCATAATCCCCAGTGACCCTACTTCCTGTCATTCTGTACATCTCCTTGACCTTTCACTTTTTAGATGGTTAACTGCCTTGCTGGAGAAGAAAGAATTTTGTAGTCCTGGTATACAGCCAGCAAGCACTGAATTAAAAAAATGGTCTAAATGAGGAGCGAATGACTGGATCTGAACAGCGCTCATCCTAGAGTAGCAGTCATCACCTACGTAGCATCTCAAGTCTTTTTTCCTAAAGAACCAAACTCCTTTAATTCTCTTCCCTAGTAACTTCTCTCCTTGAGACAAATAGACCAAAACACACACACTCGACTCAACGGATGGAATTTTCCAAGGGGATAGGAAACTTAAGTCTCAAGTGAAGACATCCAGTGTTTTGATATTAGGATGGGTCTTTTAGAGATAAATGTTGGAAGCCAGGAAAAATAGCATCAAGAGGAAATAATGCATGTGTAGGCAGCATCGGAAATATAGAGGGTTCACACCATGGGAACTCTGACCGCTATTATTTTTGAATTTCCTTCATGTTAGTACAGCTGTGTGGATGCCATGAAGCCGGGTTATGTATTTCCTGGCCCACGGTACGGGCTCAGTCTGGGCGACCCCAATGATGACCTCTGTCCACAGACCTACTTGCTCCATCCTCATCGTTAGCCTTGAGCTCCCTCCATCAGCACCAGACCTGTGCAAAGGATGCTGAAAATGAATCTGTAGCTTCAAAGTTCCCAGATGCCAAATGAACTCTTTCCAGGGCCTGTGGTCCATCCTTCCTGTCCACACCCCTGCCACAACTTTTGGGTCCAGAATGACCTTCTCCATCGCATCTCAGTCCGGCCCCACCCAGAGAGTGCCCTTCTGCTTTGATGCGTCCTTAGACTTGAAGGCCGCGTCCACGCCAGGCCTCTAGCTCCATGATTCTGCAGACTGGCTGCAGAATTCCAGCTGATGTGGTGTGGAGGAGACAAGGGAAGACCCACTGGGGTGGAGCCCACAGCCATCGGGGCCTCAGACATTGGGATGGAAATCTAAAATCCAGTAGGTTGCATAGATTGCCAAGAGTACAAAAAATCCTGTGTTGGGTAACGCTTACGAGGACATTTTCAGAAACCTGCCTCAGATGATGTAACTCAACTCTCGGGATCCTGCAGCTACAGGGATCTTGTGTTAGTGATCTCTGGCTTAACCATCTAAGAAGGCGTTCACACGTTCTTCTGTTTCTTGCTCAAGCTAGAGTTTCTGTTTGGAGTTTACCTATTACGTATGGGAATGATTGAGGGCAGGAGAAGAGGGTGACAGAGGATAAAACGGTTGGATGGCGTCACTGATTCAGTGGACACGAACTTGGGCAAACTCCTGGAGATGTTGAGGGATATAGAAACCTGGCGTTCTGCAGTCCATGGGGTCTCGGAGAGTTGGACATGACTTGGCGACTAAACAACAGCAATTCCATCACATCCGGTAACTTTTGCTGCTGCTGCTGCTAAGTCGCTTCAGTCGTGTCCGACTCTGAGCCACCCCATGGACTGCAGCCTCCCAGGCTCCCCCGTCCGTGGGATTTTCCAGGCAAGAGGACTGGAGTGGGTTGCCAGTGCCTTCTCCCCCAGTAACTTTTAGATCTTACTTAAGAAACAGATATTCTTTTTTTTTTTCTCTTTTTCCAGAAAGGTAAGTTTGTCGTTATCCAAGTGTCCATGGCTGCCTTAACTAACAGCGACCCTCTGAGCTGTTCCCCACGGCCCAGCAGCTGACCCCTGGCACACAGCTGTTTTCACTCCCTGACCCCAGTCTTCCGGGGCTGCTGGGGTCCCCTATCCTGCTGATTCTGGGGGGCCAGTCCTGCTCCCCTTTCTGCCCTTCCTGCCCACACCTAAGCCAGGAGCGCTGGGAGCCTTAAAACTCCATGTCTAAGGATTGGCTGCAGGGATTTGAAAGTGAACACAAAGGTTTCCTTCTGAGGTTTTGAAGAGGCATGTCACTCTGGAATAAACCTGGCAGAGTGTCGCCTCTCACCGTCTGGGTGCGTGGCCTGTTTGCAGTCACACGGGGAGAACAAGTGCCCATTCAGTGTTCCCTGCACGTGTTTCCAATCAGCTGTCACAGATGGGGCTTTGACACCACAGTTGCAGAAGGAGCTGGCTGGAGGGATGGAAACCAGGCGGCCTCTCTGCTTCCCATGTGCCTGTGCTCGGCTTCCGGCGAGCGCGGGCACCGTCTTAGTCTCGTAGGGCTCCTGTCACAAAATGCCATGGGCCAGGGGTCTGAAACAGCAGGAAGTTTTTTCTCATGGTTCTAGAGACTGGAGTCCAAGACCACAGTGCTGGGCTGATTGGTGGTTGGTGCCTGGTGAGAGCTCTGTCCTTGGCTGGGGATGGCTACCTTCTCACTGTAAGCTCAGTGGCAGAGAGAGAGGAAGAGAGGAGTCTGGTCTCTTCCTCATCTTTAAGGGCACTAATCCCGTCCTAAGGGCCTCAGCCTCGTGACCTCATGTAAACTTCATTCTCTCCCAAAGGCCCCGCCTCCAAATGCCTTCACGTTGGGACTGGGGCTTCCGCATGTGAACCTGGAGGAGGCACAGTCGTTCAGCTCATCACAGATGGCTGCCTTGTCTTTCCACAGTGCCCTCCTCCTCCCCTCTCCCTCCCCTCCAGCTTTCCCTTCCTGCCTTCTCTCTGTGCATCACAGACAGGCAGGGAGGCAGGCTCTGGGGGGCCGCAGTAATTGAAGGCTGTGTCTTCTTCTCCTCCAGGAACTCCCCTGATGAGTGCAGCATGGCCAAAGGCGGGAAGATGGTGGGCAGCCCGGACACCGTCGGGATGAACTACAGCAGCTACATGGAGGAGAAGCACATGCCACCCCCAAACATGACCACCAACGAGCGCCGCGTCATTGTCCCCGCAGGTCAGAGGCTCGGCCGGCAGCCCCGGCCTTCCTCGGGCTCCGCTTAGCTCTCTCTTCCTGCCCTTGGCATTGGTCACCGTCAGCTGCCTGCACTGGTGGTTGCGGATGAACCAGCAGATACTGGTCCACCGTGGTGAAATGTTCACTGCTATGTGCGTGCACGTGCATGTGTGTGTGTGAGAGAGAATCGACGCAGAGTGACCTTTCCAAGGAGGACTTGCCTTTTCTCTGAGCTTATTTGGTGTTAAATCTCCTTCCTTTTATGAAGTGCTACTTATAATAGAAGGTAGGCTTAACATTTTTTCCTTACTTGGCATAATTTAAAATTGGGATCGCTGTATTGTTGGTTGTCAAAACTCGAAATGCCAGCCCTCACTGGCTTATGAAACAGACTCCAAGAGCCTGGGTCATTCTTTACCAGAAGTAATTCTAAACATAATCCAAAACAATAACTCTGGATTTGAGAACCATGCCAGGGATTTATTTATTTAGCAAAACCAAAGGTAATAGGAAGGATGCCTTAAAACTCCTCAGAGGAAATGTTCTACATAAAACCAAAAATACCCACCACAACAATAGCAATGGTGACCACCGGCGGGTGCTGACTGAGGTTTTCAGTGAGCGATGTGCATACACTGAATTTTTGGTGTCATGAACTCTCAAGCGTAGCGTGGTTTGTCACAAGTGCCCTGATGAGGACAATGATGCTCGGAGAGGTCGGCCTGCAGTTAGTAAGAGGCGAGTGAGAACTTCCCAGGTGCACACTCGTAAAGAACCCACCTGCCAGTGCAGGAGATGAGTTTGATCCCTGGGTCGGGAAGATCCCCTGGAGAAGGAAATGGCAACCCACTCCAGTACTCTTTGCCTGGGAAATCCCATGGACAGAAGAGCCTGGCGGGCTACAGGCCATGGGGTGGCACAGATTGGACTCTTCTTAGCAACTAAGCGTGAGTTAGAACTCAGACAAGCTTCCCTGACTCCTTCATTCTCAAGCCCCTTCCCATAACCCCTGGGGGCTCCCTCCATCACCCACTGTGGCCATCTGGGCTCCTCACCTTCTGCCTCTGGGACTGAACTTGCTGTCTCTTTAGCCCGAAACCCTTGGTTCCAGGGAGTTCTGCCCTTCATCGGGGTTCTCTAGCCACCCCATCCAGAGGTGTGCCTCCACTACTCCACCCAGTGACCCTCACCCCTGCCTGCCTGACTTTCTTTTATTGCCTGGATTCCCCTCTGTCACTGCAGTGGACTTTTATGTGGAAGTTCTCTTCTTGTCTTCCTCCTTCAGTGGAGTGTAAGACCCACAGAGGCCCTGCATGGCCAAGTTCAGTGCCTGGAGTCCCCTAGGTCCTCAGTGACTATTAACTGAGGGAAGAATGGACGAAAGGGTGCCTGACCCCTGGGTGGTCCCGCCCAGGACTCTGCTTATTGCTGGAGTCATAGAGATGAGCGTGGGTGAAACGGGTGCAGGCTTGATTCTCCCTTGCCCCGAAGGTGGTGTGCGCATGTTCAGTCACTTTAGTCGTGTCTGACTCGCTGCGACCCCATGGACTGTAGCCCGCCAGGCTCCCCTGTCCGTGGGGTTCTCCAGGCGGGAACACTGGAGTGGCTTGCCATTTCCTTCTCCAGCGGATCTTCCTGACCCGGGCACTGAACCCCCGTCTCTTACGTCTTCTGCGTTGGCGGGCAGGTTCTTTACCACCTGTGCCACCTGGGAGCTCACCTCTGTGAGGTGTGATGAGCAATGAGATCACACCCCCTCCATGGCACGATTCCCACCCCCAGCCCTAAGTCTGCACCAGACCGCCTCCAGTGGGCTTCTGTTTCCACCTTCCAAGCAAGAGAGTTCAGAGCGCAAAACACCGACTTGGCTCACAGACTGGGTGTCTCTTCAGGATGGTCGCTGTGTAGCTTTCAGCAAACTGCATGAAGCTCGTTGGAAGCAGTGCGGTGTATGAAAGGACTCATCCATCCCTGATCTTGAAGCACGAATAAGGCTTTTATAGAGGACAGTGGAGTGAGTCTCTTGTGTGCCTCATGAGAAGGACAAAGCCGGTTTTGATGTTTCAGGAAAGGAAGTGGACATTTATGCCGAAGGCATGCCTTTGGTTTGATCATGGCAACTAAGCTACATTCCTGAGAACTATCGCTTGTTGCTGTGACTTAGAACTGGAGGCATTTCCGGTTGAGTGGGAAAAAAGTGTGGAAAGGCGAATGTCCAAGGGGCCCATCCTGGATGCGTGGTACCTGAAGGGGTTGAGAGCAGCTGTGTGCCTGGGGATGGGGGGTTCAGGCAGGGGTGTTGTTGCTTTGGACACTGGCTGGAGCGGAATGGGATGAGACGAAACCCAGAGGATGTCTGCCCAAGCCTGTCTCACCCTTTGCCTTTCTCCTTGAGAATATAATTTCCTCAGTTTAGGTGAAACAAAGCCTTTACTTCTCTAAGATGAGAGACTCAATCTGAGGAAAGGCTTACATTGAAGGTACTTATCTGAGATCCGCATGGAATCACAGACCCAGGAGCTAAGTCTGGTGCTGTGACATCCTTTCATCTGACGGGGTCCTATTTCTGTCATGCCAGCAGCAGGCTTTGATGTTGTCAATATCATTTCTAGTAGGGCCAGACTTGCTTCCTATGTTAAATAAACTGTTTAGAAAACAAGAGAGCCATTTTCATGGGAAAGAGGCAAAGAAGCAGTTTAATCAAGTCAGGACATCCACCCTTTGTGATTTGTGTAGTTGTTGTTCAGTCGCTAATTCATGTCCAGCTCTTTGCAACCCCATGGAGTTCAGCCTGCCAGGCTTCCCTGTCCTTCACCATCTCCTGGAGTTTGCTCATATTTATATCCATTGAGTCGGTGATGCTATCTATCTCATCCTCTGTCACTCCCCTCTTCTCCTGCCTTCAGTCTTTCCCAGCATCAGGGTCTTTTCCAACAAGTTGGCTCTTTGCATCAGGTGGCCAAAGTATTGGAGCTTCAACTTCAGCATCAGTCCTTCCAATGAGTATTCAGAGTTGATTTCCTTTAGGATGGACTGGTTTGTTCTCCTTGCAGCCCAAGGGATTCTCAAGAGTCCTCCAACACCATAGTTCAAAAGCATCACTCCTTAGGTGCTCAGCTTTCTTTATAGTCCAACTCTCACATCCATACATGACCACTGGAAAAACCATAGCCTTGACTAGACTGACCTTTGTTGGCAAAGTGCTATCTCTGTGTAGTAGGTTCTCATTAAATGTCAGCCAGTCGCCTGGAAGCCTGGTTGCACAGATTGGCTCATATTAAGCTTTTGTGTAAAGGCTGTTTCATCCCCTGAAGAAAGCCCTCTTTCAGCTGTCCCCTCGTTTGGTTGCTTCACGCCGAGGCGAGGGCAGTTATTCAGTTAACCGGGTTTGTAAGAGAGCTCACTGTGGCTGGTTTTGCAAGTTGTGAGTCTTGCAGTTATTGGTCAAGCCTCAGGTATGTGTGCTCACACGCAGACACACAGATGAACACACAGACACACAGCTATATTGCACAATCCTGAAAACCCCCAGTGTAAAGACAGCAGGACCTGGGCGCGGCTGTATCAGCTGCTCCCTCCATACCTTCGGCCCCAACTCTGAGATCCAGGCACCTCACTAGGGCACATTTTGGGTGTAGAGAGTTCTACACACTTAGCAGAATTCTACAAACCTGGTTACGACTGGTTCATATAGTTCCTACTATTTAAGCACTTTGATTGGCACTTCTAAATGCAAATCAGAAAGACAGCCCCACCCCCCAAATCCATTATTTATTCCTAAGCATTTGCTCTATCAATCAACTGCATACTGACCTTCATGTCCTAGACCTAAAAATGGTCCTGAGAAATACTGACCAAGAAGATTGGTGTGTAAACAGGAGAAGACACAGAAAAAGACATGGTCTTTTGGACTCCTGGCCTGGATTCCTCACTTCTAAAGTCCCTGGTTTTGAGACTCACTGTCTCTAACTCAGGTTTCCCAGCTGGCGCTGGTGGTGAAGAACCTATCTGCCAATGCAGGTTAGACATAAGAGACTTGAGTTCGATCCCTGGGTTGGGAAGATACTTTGGAGGAGGGCATGGCAGCCCACTCTAGTATTCTTGTCTGGAGAATCCCATGGACGGAGGAGCCTGGCAGATTGCACCTATAGGATTGCACAGAGTCGGACATGACCGAAGCAACTCACATGCACACATGTGTCTAACTCAGGAGCTTTATAAAAACTCCTCAAATATCCGTAAAGAATAAAAAGACTTGCATTAAATATATTTGCACTGTTTCCTTGTTTCAGAATGGATTTAAGAATGATCACACAAATATAAATAAAAGAAAAAGATAGAATCTGTTTTAAAAGTAAATGGATTGAGAACATGGGCTAAAGTAAGAACTTAACAGGCAGTGAAACCAGGGGTGAGGTTTGTAAGTTGATATATATATTTGGAGAAGGAAATGGCAACCCACTCCAGTATTCTTGCCTGGAGAATCCCATGGACACAGGAGCCTGGGGGGCTTAAGTGCATGGGGTTGCAAAGAATTGGACACGACTGAAGCGACTTAGCACATATGTATATATTAACACAAACTTTATATCCTGCATAGTTGCAAACAGTAGGTTTTATTGGGTCCAAGGTGTCAGCAGGCTATGTGAAGGCGATGCCTTAATCAATACATGCCTCAGTGTCCCCAGGATTAAAAGAAAACATGTGGGAAAGATGGTCCAGCTCTTTATTTTGAGTCTGTAAAAAAAAGTGTTTCTTAGTTTGTCATTGGAAGGTAACAGGGAAGTCACATGAAAGCACTCAGCGAGTAGGCCACCAGACACCCTGGAAAGCCCTGACTTTTACCTGTTGTCCTGGTTACAGCACTGGCTCGGCCTCTCCTTCTCAAGGTGTAGAGAGTAGACAATACATCACATGTGCTCTTTCTGTCTACCATCTGTATCTATCATCTGTCATCTGTGTCTGTCTTTCCATCTGTCTGTAAATCTGTTGTCTCTCTA